TTAACTAATGACCTAAATAACTATGTGTGTCTGAGCCAATAGCTCAAACTTACCTAGGTAGAAACACGCACTATGTGTGTCATTAACAAACAGGAATCACACTGTAGGCTGATAGATGAAGTAACCCCCAGCAACCACCTGGCTCAGGCTCGGGCGGCCTGAGCAAATAGTTTTAAATTTGTCATTCAAGAGTTGTCAATTTTTTATTTTTTTCCCCCCATTAACGTTCATCAACGTTACTGCAGTGGAAATACTTACCTTTAACATTAATAAGCTAACAAAATATTTGTCGAAAGAATAAATCACTGTACACCCTGTAGTTGTGGTGTCATATGCTCTAACATGGTTTCTACGCAAGACACGAGCGGCACAATATGACCAAATCAATAGACCCGTAACGATAGGTAAAGCGGTCTGTAATGTATGCAGTGCGATACGGCCAACGCAACAAAACTTCTGCTACTGCTGGTATTAATAATATTCACTAACATTTCAATACAGAGTTGAAGTACATGCTGTTGCTGTTAATGATATTCACAATGCTGTAGTAGGAGTTGTAATATTTAATCAAGCTTTCTGCTGCCGCTGCTATATTAGCCATAATAATGACTTGCTATGCATGCTGCTGCTAATATTATTTCTAACCTTGCATCTGAATTTTCTATGCATGCTATAAAATTAGCTAACATTGCGATCTGAATAACTATGCATACTGCTGCACAAATGTACTTAGAACTGCTACTGCCCATTTATTAAATAACCAAACAACCAAATAATGCCTATTTCACTTTGAAGAGTTCAATAAACCCTGTTGAACTGAATAGCAAAGTAACAAAATGCCTATTTCACCTAAAAAGTTCACTACCATCCAAGCGTTATCTTATCACTGAAATTTCATGCAACTAAATGAACTTTATGCTGCCGCTGCTATATTAGCAACAATGATAATTGGATTGCCATGCAGACTGCTGCTAATATTTCTAACATTGCATCTGAATTTTGCCATGCGTGCTGCTGCTATTAAAATTCACTAAACTAGTGATCTGAATAGCTACGCAATGCATGATGCTGCTATAGCAGCACAAAAGTACTTCAAATTGCTATTTTTTTTTAAGCAAACACAATCTAATAATGCCTATTTTGCTTTGAAGAGTTCACACAATCTACTGTAAGCCCTGTTAATGCAAATAAGTAAAATGCCTATTTCACTTTAAAGAGTTGTTCTTACCCCATTGGTTATCACTGACATTTCAAGAAACTAAAGTATTTTCTGCTGCCGCTGCTATATTAGCAACAATAATTTGACTTCCTGCTGCTAATATTATTTCTAACATTGCATATGAAATTGCTATGCATGCTGCTGCTATTAAATTAGCTACATGCGACCTGAATACTATGCATACTGCTGCTACAGCTGCACAAAGGTACTTAGAATTGCTATAAGCCCTTTTTAAATAAACGAAATGCAAATGATGCCTATTCGCTTAAAGAGTTCACATACCATCCATTTTAAGTCACTGAAACTTCAGCAATTGTAAGACGCTTTGGTTAAAAGCATCTGCAAAATGAATAAATAAGAATGTAAATGTAACTACGGACTACCTACTGCTGCCGCAACTAAATGATTAATTTGATTTGCTATGCATACTGCTATTAATAATTCGCTAATAACGCAATCTGAAATTCTATGGATACATTAAACAATGAAACGCAAACAAATAATGCCTATTTCGCTTTGAAGAGTTCACAAAATCCCTGTACGCCCTGGTAAATAAACGAAGTTATAACAGCCTATTTCAATTTAAAAGAGTTACTTACCCCATGCATCACTGAAATTTCATGCAAGTTAGATATTTCCTGCTGCCGCTGCTATAAACAACAGTAATAATTTGACTTGATTTGCTATGCATACTGCAATTAACAATTCGCTAATAAAGTGATCTGAATTCTATGATACTGCTGCTAAAGTCTATAACGATTGCCGGTCTGACGATAAATCGTGATAAAATACACCACGGTTAGTATTACCGTTTCATATTTTAATTATCACTATAACCGTATTCGATTACCGCGATTTGA